GTCGAGCAGCTCTTCGAGATCTGCCATCGGCTGGCCTCTATCCCTCCCGAGTTTTGCTCGTACCCTCGTGATCGCGATTGTGCGAATAATGAAAACGAATCGAAGGATGTGGAATTTTCGAACTTTACAAACGAAAACGCATCTCTTTGAAATTCTCTTTGAAATTCAATAATTTTTTTAAATTCTTTTACTTTATTTCTTCGATTAAATTTTAGAACCAGTAATTTTTAACGTAAAGATTTTCTCTTTTCTCTTTTTGAAATGAGTTTTTAAATTTTCTCTTAATTCATTGATTCATTGATCATTATTTCATTGTTCTATATTTCTAATTTTATCGATTTATCTGTATTAGAATTATTTAAAGAAAAATTGTTCGATCCGATATTGTCCACGATGATGAAAATTATTTTTCCACGGGAAAAGAAGGGGCAGAATCGTTGGATCGTAGTCAGGAATGGAAATGAGAAGGAATGGAAAAGAGGTGATCGCGGAAACTGCGAAAGTAGAGGCGAGAGAAAGTTCTCGTTTTGCGAGATGCGAGTCGCAATTACACCGGGGCGATAAAAGTGTTACTTCGCGCTGTAATTTAGAAATATTTTTACGTCGTTTTGATTTGCCCGGGAAACGAGAACGTGGATAGTATAAAACCGCCACTTCGCCGTGTAATTTTCGTTCGCGGGTTTCCACGCCGCCACTGTTTATATTCTACTTTCCACTAGGAGAATGGTTGCTTCTGTTTTCCCCTCTCGATGCATAGAATTTCGAAATTGGTCCATAAAAAAATGGAAGGTGTGTTAAGAAACCATAGAAAGGAGCATCGTTCGCTAAACCATCGATTTCTTCCCCTTTCATCCCTCGTATCGGTCCTTTAGAAATATAGAAACATGCGGAAATTCGTCGATGTATCTTTTTCACCATTTAGACGGATACATAAAAGCTTGAAAATTCTTCGTGTGAAAGTCTACTCGGTCTTCATAATTTTTCGCTTAAATTTTTCAGTACACCATCACATACTTCTAAAATGTGCTTAAGGTTTAATTATACCAACGATTTTTTCATTTCATCCCTCGAAAATTTTCATTAAATTTGAATGGAAGTTCAGTAAATTTTATTCAAATTCTTCTGTAGATTGCAGACGTTTGTGCAAAATTAAATTTTTTATGAATACGATTAAAAATCTGGATCTTAATTCATTTTTTCAGATTCTTTTATATTGAAGTTTTATCTATGCCTCACTATTCCATCAATCATTTATTCCATTTCACAGACAAGGGACGAATTATACGAATCAAAAAATAAAATTTATTCAATTATTTAGTCTCCAATTACTGGAGTCTCCATTGTCATAACCAAATTGTTTTCTTTTTTACGTTTCATTCGAATAAAAAAATTTCCATTAAATTCTTCACATTTTTCCCAAATACAGTTCAACATTCATTCGATTCGCCGAACAGAGATCCCGATATTCCGAGATCAGACATTCGAAAGAGAAGCAACAAGGCGTGCTGATTAAGCCTGCTCAATTATCCGCCGATTCTTCCTGTCGCGGGATCTTTTTTAAAGTAGAAAGTTTCGCTCGGGCACGGGAGAAGAGGAGCTATCGGCTTTAGGAAAGTTGTACGGTGGCTCGTCACAGGGAGGCGTACAGTGTAACGGTGAGCAACGTCGACGCGGGTCCTCTCGTCGCCTAATTGAATGGCATTTTATTTAGCACAGTTCCCCGCACTCTGGATAGCCGCCATTTACCTCAATTACGTAATTCACCGTACACAACCGACCGCGGCAGCTACCCACCATAGGCATTGCATGGTGATTCCCATACCGATGCCGATGGGTCGGTGGTGTTGGTCGTGGCGGCGGTGGTGGTGGTGGTGGTGGTGGTGGTGGTCAACTGATGACACGTGTTTGCGCTACCGCCGCCGTGCAATTAGCCCCCCAATGTAATTTCGCGCTGGTAAGAGCGTGCCACGCTCTTTTGGCCTAGTACCGTACCTGAGGGCGCATCGTGTACCCTCGTATTATCAAGAGGGAAGTGATTTTCTTCGCGAGACGTAGAAAAATTCGATTTTAAGCACCACACCGGCGGCAGTTCGATGGTTATTTTTGCATCCGGTTATAATCATCGATGGAAGGAAACGGATCCTTTAAAACACGAATACTGGTTATCCTCGAGCCTTTGACCTACTGGTTAAAAATCCTCCGACGAGTCTCGGTACCTGATTTTTCGAATTCTCCTTTCTCATTATTTGGGTGAATAGAATAACTTGAATGTTAATCCGAGAGAAAGAAAATCAATGTTCAATGTTCTATGAAAATTGTTGAATATATATTTTTAAAAGATATCTGTTGAAATTAATCTGAAAAATATTGATTTCAATCACGTTATTATCGTTTTACATTTAAAAATAAAAGTTTGCAGAAAAAATGGTAAATACCAAAGAATAGATTTGAATTAACTAGCCTCTTGGATACGGAATCTGAATCGTCCTTTATGCGAAAATTAGCTCTTTCCATTGCGGTCGGTTATTGTGTAATTAATCTCACGGTGCATCGGAAATAAATATTCGCGTGTAATTGAAGCATCGAGTAGGTGTGCGCTTAGTCGGAACGTGATGCAATGTTAATGAACGGTATATTATCCGGCAACTAGTATCATTGTAGACGATACCCGCTGCCGAGCCTGGTAATTGTGGCCAGCATTACTGATTAGACGTAATTACCATTTGGCCAAAGAAATGTCCCCCGTGTTAACGCGGCTGTCTCCACTTCGATGCTTCCCCACTTCGATGATTCCCACTTTTCTTCTGTCGCGCCTAATTCTTCAATCATCTCGCCTTGGAAAATGATCATACATGTGCTTAAGTTTGTGCATAATTAAAATTATCCACCGATTACGCGGTTGGGTAAATTTACCGCAATAATCCATTCTTAGTTAAATCTGTGACGAACAATGGATCCGTTGGTAACTATGGAGGATGGATGGAAAAAATTGCCGTCGGGGGAAGGAAGAGAGAAAGAGAGAGAGAGAGAGAGAGAAAGAGAGAGAAAAAAATAACGTCAATTCTGGGAAGACGATTAGGAACGATCAGATAAGGGGCGGTGGGCTGCGAGGAACGTGTCGTTTCCCACCCGCTCCAAGACTTTCGACTTAATTAGACGTTTGCTGTCGTCCTGATTTTGTCAGCTTTAATCTTGCCCCGTAACCGGAGCCAATGACGCGCATCCCATTCGCAATCAGGCAACATTACGGACGACTAAATATTTGACGACTGTACGATGTTGACTCGTCGTTCGATAAAATGTGTTGCGACATTTCTGCGATAATATGAAATATGAGGTGGTGATTTATCGTGGTATAGTACAAATGGGGGGAAAGATTACGAAATATCGAGAATTTTTCTTTTGAATTTTATTTTGAAAAAATTTGCCTCGATGATGAGTATTAATTATACGGATTGGAAAAGAGACAAAGATTGCTCGTGGGCGAACAACCACGCTTTGGATTATCCAGGATTTTATCCTTTTCAGCGCCTTCACCTGTCTACCGTGTTGCATTCGTACAGATACGATCGGCAAAAAAAGGCCAGTCGCGTTACGAAATTTGCTCGCTGGCTGAAATTTTTTTCTTCCATCGTGCTACCGGCCTCTGCATAACCGGCGCGAAATTGTTCCGATAAAAAATTCTATTACCTATAATGCGACCGCCAGCCAGATTAGCATCTTTCGAGGAAAATTTAGGTCACATGGATCGACGCGTTGTTCCTTTTCGCGGTGTGCAATTTTCTACGATCATTGTAACCATCTTGTAGAATCGTTAAAAATATTTGACGAATGAGAAAAATAAGAAAAATAAAAAAAAATGGATATCGAGGAAAGAGAAAAAACTACGAGAAATGATTTTACATCTTCGATGAATAATTAATTCGCGAAGATATTGCGTGTACGACCTTAATGAAGAATTACTGTACCGACTACGTTCGGTAGAAGATTCCCCTCGAAAAATGGATCCAAGTAATTAACAAACGAGTTGCGTGTACGTGAGAACAGAAAAACGTGTCGTTCGAGCTGCTCCACCTCCAATACCGGTCCACTCCTTTCGCGGTGGATTAATGGGCGGAGCCAAGGACGTCTGTTGCCAAACTGTCACGTTGACGTTTGATTGTTCTTTATTTCATTACATCTTCTTAAATTCTTCTTTTTTAATACAAAAGTCAAATTCAGAAGAACACGATTTACCAATTGGAAGGAAAAAAAAAAAAAATTTCCAATTTCAATATTTGTTTTTTTCGTTTTGATTAATTTAAAAAAATCGAATCGCAATATTTACCATAAAATAAAAATAAGCGTCACAAAAAAGAACCGCGAATGAAAGAATATTCCAATTTCGAGGAACGTAACAAAAACTAAAACCACCGGATCTTTGGAGAAAGGAAATTCACTCGCGTCCCAGATGTTAGCGTCACCCTCAACCCTCGATTCCCGTCGAATTCGCGGTCGATAGGGGAACCGGGGGAGTCTCTTTGGCGGTCGAAAGTCCGCGTTCCATGCATACAAGCGTAGCTGGTCGAAGCGTGGTCTCCGGCTTTCTTTGCCAAGCTATACCCCCGACGGAGTCTGCCGGGAGTAGTGGCAGCGTAGTACGCGCACGACGAACGAAAAGGGTCCCCGGGCAGGTAGAGAAAACACCTCGACGAGCGAAGGGGCCCCGAGGGTGTCAGGAATCGAGGGGCGTGGCCGAGTTATGCCACCGCCTACACGGACACCATAATGGCCTCCGCGCGACCAATCAAACGGCTAAACGTCACGGTCGCGGAGTGGGGGAATGGTGGAGCGGCCAATCGGTGGGCGCGCTAACGGCCGGTGTGGGCGTGGCCTTGAGTGGCGCCACCGCGGCGACTTTCGGAAACCGTGCACCGGGCTCCGGGGAGAGGCTCGGGCTTCATTATGTATCATTATACCGGTCCGCGCCGCGCGGTGTGCACTGCAGTTACTGGGCCAGGCGCGCGTGTGTGCTTTTCTCTCTTCTTCGTCGCCGTCGTCGCCTTCTTCTTCTTCTTCTTACTTCTGTACCCTGGCCGGCGCATCGTCGTTACCGTTTTCTCACGTCGACAACCACGTCGGCCGAGCCACGATGCTCATCGGCGTCGAATAATCACAGCATACGCGCGTGTGGAAAAAGCACTTGCTGGCTGCCGCTGAACGAGAGCGAGCGTGCGCGCGCGCGCACGCCTCTGTGTCATCGGCGACGTACAATTAAATCACGCAGTTCGCGCGAGTGTACTGTCACGATAGGACCGCACAATATTCGGATCGGCAGATTACCGGTCCTCCGTCGGACGAGTTGGACCGCAAATTGCGATAACGCCGATCTTGGGATTTCCGATTTCGGCCAACGTGTCCCTCCAATTAAGCCGGGACCAGTGTGGTGCACGATCGAGGCGTGATTAACAGTGACGGTAATTGAAATCGCGATCGGGAGGATCGAGAGCGCGATACCCGCGCTCCGTCGCGCAGTGAAAAGAATCGCACATCAATGGCCGGTTTACGCGGTCGTGGAGAACGTTACCGCGAATCGATGACGAGCTGACGCGTGACGAGCTCGCGCAGTGACGCACGAAACTTCCTGTGCATGACTTTGGTGTACATCCTTTGTCGCCATACAAACAACAACAGTTGGATTCAGTTCCGTAAACTGCTACGCGGGTGAAGTGCTTTTTAGTGATTTAACTGTAATCCAACTCAAACTCTACCAAAAAATTTCTCAAATAAGTGTGTATACGTGTGAACACGTGAAAGAAACAATATATATATATATATACATATATATATATATGTATATGTAATCAAACCCAGTGACAATTACAGTGACAGTTACAGCGACTGATCTGATCGGTTCTTCGAGTCAACGAACAACCATCTGTCTCTCTCATCGCCACCAGTGAAATCAGCCAAACCATCCACGTGAAAAAGAAAGAAATAAATCGCCAAAAAAATCGGAGATGTCGCCTCTTCTCCTCACCTACGATCCAACAACGTATCCGTGATCCGGGCAACAAGTAGTGAGGAGTCGCGAATCGTGAAACAGAGGCCCCCAAGATTCGGGCCCCGTACGGTGTTCGCGCGACGGCGGCGGCGACGACGTCGTCGGCGAGTTTGTCCGCGAGAACCGTAGGCTGTGGCGGCGGCATCGACGTCGCGACTAAGGTGGAGCGTCCGGGCAGCACGACGACGCTCAACTTCACGGACCTGGGGAGCCCATTCGGGGCGGGCGACCCCTGTCCGTCCAGTACCCCGACCCCGAACAGCATGTCGGGTGGCGGTGGACCGTCAGGCGGAGGCGGTGGCGGCGGTGGCGGTGGCGCGGGTGCAGGAGGCGGTGGTTCCGACATGGAACAGCATCTCCATCACACGGGGCTGGGCTCGGTGACACCTGGACCACCTGGCGGGAACGGCGGCGACAGCACGACCTCGAGCACGCCTGTCTCGCAGAGCGGCAAATCGGCGTTCATCGAGCTGCAACACAATAATCTGTACCCTGCCAGCCTGCGTGGCGGTTACCCAGGTGGACACAACGTGCCCGGCGCCCATCAGTTCTCCCATCAAGTCGGGGCGCTAAGTCACCAAACGTCGGGACCAGGCAGCGGGAACCAGCAACACGCGGATGCAGGATTCCCCAGTCCTAGGTCGCTGGCCGGATATCCGTTCGCGCCCATGCACCAACACAACACCTACGGATATCACCTGGGATCGTACGCGCCCCAGTGCCCCTCGCCGCCCAAGGACGGTGAGTACCCTAACTGTATGTATTCGCAGCCATTTTTATATTTCTATTATTAGAATAGTTAACCTAGTTGTTGGTCTCCTCCGTCCCTCGAAATCCGTGGTCAATCGTTGTCGTGATCGGGTCGTGAGGATGTTGTTGAATTTCGACGTCTTGTCTTAAGCGTGATATTTTGGTGATTTCTTGGGACGAGAGGGTGTTGGAAGGTTCACGGTGATGATTGCTGTGTCGATTTGTAATTAATCAACGTGGATGAGATTCGAATTCACCGTGAACTTTTCAAAGTTTTCGATCGGACGATTTGAAATCAATTTTGAATTCGAGATGCGGTAAATATCCGCAATGGACTTCAACTGTCAAAGAGATATATTGTAAAGAAGCATCGTGCCAGCCTCGTGGTTATGCGATTATAATATTTCCTAATTCCTCGAATAATGTCGGTTGCCCGATCCCGCCGGTAGATTTCTACTTTAGAAAGATGCATTTAATCTTGCGTGTTTTCTTAAGTGAAAATTCATATTCGCCATTCCATAACTCCAGTCATAACTCATCGATAATTGCATGGAGACGATACTCCTTTGCTTCTAACATCACTTAGTGGTTTCATTATCTAATCTTCTTCGTACGATAGATCGGATCAATGGAAATACGTCACGTGTGTCGATCCGTGGACGTAAATCTGGAAATCGTGAATCTCTTGCCTCGAACGTTGATTTCTCATGTGGAAGGAGTCTCTGTTCACGATTCAAAAAAGGAACGAAAACGGAAGAGAGAATCTAGAGTGGCAGGTAGTGGTCGGTCGACGGCCTGGACAGGCACAATAACGTTCGAGAAGCGGAATAAGATATACGACTAGGAAAGAGAATCCTCTTGGGACCCGAAAAAGTCCCGCAAAGCGGCTAACGAACGAAACAAAAAGCTCCCCTCGGCAGAATGAGAATAGTCGCGGTCTCCCAGTGTCCTCGAAAAACACTGTTAGATATTCAAACAGCCGAATACGCAACTGTTCCACTGTTTCTTTCCACATCTTCCTCACCTTCTTCTTCCTCTTTTTCTTCTTTTTCTTCTGCTTCGTCAATTTCTTTCAACTTCAAGTATATATAGTATATTTATACTAATTTATCGAATTGGAATATTAGGATATTTGTTCTCAATTCGATTTTCATGCTAGTAAATCGATTATGAATGTTTATGGAAAATTTAATCATTTTGTTTTTGAAGAAAATTTTTATTGGAAAGTATAGATATTTCGAAAATTTTTCGAAATATATTCAAGATTTTAAAATCGACGAAATTGAATACGAAGATATTATACTAATTGTAATAAATGGAATATTACAAAGATGAAGAAGCGCGCGATAAGTAAAAGTTTAAAGAAAATTGTTTTCTATAATGTGCACACGGTGTCGCAAATATTTATTATTTTTTTGTAATATTTAAATATGTTTGTAAATATGTTAATTCGCATAAACATCGACAATCTATTATTAAAGTAATTTTAATATTCATTTCTATTTCCTTCTTCATTAAATATACGCACGATAATAAATGGCCAACTAAATTTCACCAATGTCATAAATACAATTATTCGTTCACACATTCTTATCTCTGAATTTCTCGGTATTCATCGTGAAAGAAAAGTCGGTATCGATTCTTCACTAACTAACCTTGTCGCCACGACGAATGGAAAAAGAAGAAAACGACCAGTCGTCGTTAGTATTATCCGTTCGAATACATTCCACCATCGGTGTAGTATCGTCTTTCCAATGAAGCTGTCATCCACGAATCGACGGCTACGAACAACAATACCCCCGGCGTCGATGTAAACGTGCAATATTCAGTTCTTTAGACGCGACGGTATTCGCGACACGGAAGACAAATCCTAAATTAATTGAAGAGGAATTTACACGAGTTTCACTTCTTCTTCCTTTTTCTTTTTTTCTTTTTTTCTTTTTTTTTCTCATTCCGTGGAAACTCTCGCTATAAATGCACGCTTCTACCCGTCCCTACGAGGGGAGACAATCGACAACCCTCTGAGAACCCTTTCCACCCCCGTAAATTAATAATGACCGATGTTCTTCTTCCACCTGTCTTTTACCCCCGTGAACGCGCACGTTCCAACGTTTCTGCATTATGGAAACCACGGGAGGCTTTCACCTATTGGTACCACCCCTTCGGATAGTTCGTAAGCACAGGCGTATCGGTTATAGATAATCTTAAATCGGTGAGTTTATCGAAATTGCTATGAGAATAAAAAAAAAAAAAAAAAAAAAAAAAAAAAAGAACCGATGAATCTCCGATGAGGAAGCGCATCGAAAGGGGTTCGTCCCTCGAGATACAGTGGCGAATTACGCGATATCGTTCGCTTCTTCTCTAATGGAAGAATCCTGTAAACGATCGCGAGGGTTGAATTCTCGGCAATTTTTCTGATCCTGATATTTTTACATCGATCGCGATTAAATTGGAAATGCTTGACCATCGAATGGGCCGAAAGAAAGAAACGCGTGTCATTTTCCAAGGGTTAGGATCATAATGGGCTACCGTTCTACCATGTGGGTTCTTCAGTGGCCACGACCGTTCCGTGGAATCGTTCAGATTATAGGTCATTTTCTCTCATTAGGATGACAATTTTTTCGTGCCCGGTTTTCATAAACCATTAGAACGAGCTCCGATGGGATAGAATTATGACGAGTACGTAAAAAACCGGATCGGCTGGCTAGAAAATTTCGCTCGAGGGAGTTGGATCTCCGGCCGACGAATTGCCACGACCGCGTCGTGTCGTAATGTCCCGTCGATTTTCATTAAAGTGTTGTGACATTGTTGTGACGATAACGTGGAAATTGATTTATCGAACGATCTCGCCACGTGTCGCTCCGTTCATTTATCGATCGTTCGCCGATCCTCGTAGATCATTCAGTCGCAATTACTTTTTCCATTTTTTTCTCCTGTTTTTTTTTCCTTGTTTCACTTCTTACAACACGCGTCTTCCGCGTTGTAACGCGAGATTCGTCGTTTGTTGTACCGCGATAATTGGTTAATTCGAACGTATCGTGTGCCGATCGTTAGGGATTAATCGTTTACGAGGAGGCTCGTTTACGCGTGTGACAAATTGCGACGAAAGAATTTACTCGTCGTTCCTCTCGTAATCCTCGTTTGTCCCACTGATGAAGGCGATTGAATTAATTAAATAATAAATATCGTTTTAGAATCGCGATCGAGTTAATTACCAAGGTGCACGCCATTGTTTGCACATCCTCCTCGAGCTTCTCTAACCACCTGTGCTTCTGTGCCTCTACAGCTAGCTTTTTTGTCAAAATACTCGCCACGTTTTATTATTCCACAATAATAATATTTCAGAAAAGAGAAGAATTCGTAGAATGTTTAACTGAGAATTTTCTTCGAAGCTTTTAATTGAAAATAATTACTTTAAAATTCCCACAATTCTTTATCTTCTCCAAATATATTTTCATATTCCCATCCAAGTATTTTTAGCAATTTCAACAAATTGGTATTTATATATATATATACAAAAAAGAAATCATACGTCGTTGACAAGGAGATTAATTACGAAACAAGATGAAAGAAAAAAATATAACTAGCACATTTCGAAATCATCGCGCGTAAAATTTCTTCCATCAATTTTTCAATACCTCTAAATGAAGTCATCGGGGACTTGACCGACGACGACACGTCAGAGCCGAGAGAATACGAAAGGAGAGGCGAGATCGTGTACACAATTGTCCAAGATCCTCTGCACGATTTCACACTCGACGATGCGCAAACATTGCCTCCCTCGGATAGAATATATCGGCGAGCAATCTCATCGTCGCGACAAATGAACCAGCCATTAACATCGTTCCTCTTCGTGCTTGCCCTTCTCCCTCTCTTGTCATCGCCCCCTTCCTCCTCCTCCTCCTCCTCCCCAACCAGTCAAAGTTGCAACGAAGAAGCGAACGCGCCCGTGGAACCAGAATCCAATTAGCGTGGCTACCTTTACCGAACTCTACATTAGTCACTGGACCTGGCAGCGACCAACCACCAGGCCAAATTAATCCGGAATGGTTCAAAGACAATGCGCGCCCCTCGAACTCGCCCCCCCGAACCCGGGCCCAGGGTGATGGATTAGGTATTAAACGGTTGTTTTCACAAGGATTAGCGTTTCACCGACCTGTGGAGCACGCCTGCGGATCGCCCACAGACTCGGCCTGCACTCGAGCCAGGGGTGGATGACGGCGTCGAAGATGACGATGGGCCTCGATCCTCGTCTCGATGCTCATCTCGTCCGAAGGATTTTGCGCGGAAGTCGTGTTTTCTCTGGCGCAGATACATCCGTAGATATCGTGCGGCTGCCACTCAACCGGATCCTAGTTCCTCCCCCCTCCCCTCTCCCTTCCTCCAGCTGACAATGAGAAAAGTAGGGTTCGAATGGTCGTCACGCAAAGTGCACCGGTCGCGGCTAGCTGCAGCGCGATCCACGATAAACTATTCGTCCAACTCTAGTGTTTAGTGCAACTCGAACAGCTTCCAGAAGGTGTTATTTTTTGATCCGAAATTTATTCGATTTTCGTGGAAACCGTTGACTTGTACGGAAACTTTGTACCGGCGTCAGAGATATTTATGCATACTTATTCATATACATACGAATGAGAATGCTTTTGTTTTTTTTTTATAAACGATTTTCAAACTGCTGTTCACACAGTTATTCGAGAATTGCTCGTTTCAAAAGCTATGCAGATATAAACGCATTAACAATATATTGCAATAATCTTCTCTATTTTTATTCCTTTTTTTTTCTTCTTTTTTTTACCAGTATTAAATTTCCTAATTTTCTTCAGCAAGCAAAAGTGAGTTTCGTTTCGCAAATTTAATTCTATTTTTCTATATATCGACAACAATGTATATTCTTTCTAAAATAATGGAACTGACCAACGACTACAGAATTATCTAGAAGAAAATTTGATCTGCATCCGAACTTCTCGTATCTAAGGATAGAAATTCCACTTCTAAATGGTTTATCTGCTTTTCTTCTCGGTGACGGATACGCATTGATGTTTTACGTTCCACGATCGGGAGTATGTACATATATATATAGATCGGCAAATTGCCTCTTCGAGGACGATTATCCCGTTGAATAACCGGCGGATCGATCGATCGCGTACACGCGAAAATCGGGAAGGGAACGAGATTGCGAAGGAAGTTGGGAACGCACGACCGTTCGCAAATGAGCGAATTATGGCAAAGTAGCAGTTTCACCGCGACGCGAGCGGTTTTCAGCGGCCGTTTTGCATACGGCCGAGCGTTAATGATCTCGCAACGCGGCCGCTCTACACCCGAGAAAAATGTGTCGTAAAACCGTAAACTCCTTTCGTCCACCGATTTTTCTTACTTGGCCGCACTTGCGTTGCATCAGAGGCTGTGATTAACAGGCGGTCGATCGGCTAATCAATGGCCAACGAGCGGCGATAAATTCGTTGTGTTCGTGATAAGAAATGCGATTCGATACTGCGTGACGTTCTCGTACAGTTACAGCGTACCATGTGTTCCATTTGTGGAAATTTATGGATGGATTCGTGTTTTCAGAATTTATGGAATATCAATGTGGGCGAATATTTTATTTTAATCGAATGAATGATATTTTAAAAAAATAAATTTCTTAATGATTCTTTTCAATGAAATTATTTCGATAAGAAGATTTTTCGTGATCGAATAAATGTGACAAATTCATAAAAACATATAGATTATAATCAATATTATATTAGTCAATTAGCATGTTAAAAAGCATATATTTAATCTGAACACAAAAAAACAATTATAATATGAAATTGGCTGACGGTATATAAATTTTTAAACAGGAAATGTTATAATTACCACATTATTTCTTTATTATTCTCAAAACACAAGTATATAAATATTGCTTCTCCGCCCAATTAAACCACCAACAGAGGTATAGTACTTTTCAATAATTCTCGCAAGTAAACATCGATCATTACATGAAAATATATATATAGGCATTACAAACAGATAAGAAAGCAGCCATTATTCGTTTTAAGTATGCGATATATATTCGGTGACATCATGACTCCCCTCACCCGCCAACCATAAAACCGATAGAAACACCGAATAAACATTATCGCGTTCACCTGACTGAATATGGCGTAGGTTAATGTATTCGACGATATCGGTCACGACAGCGCAAAAACAGCGTCTCGTTGAACGAAGGACACCGCCTTCTCGAAGAATCTTTCGCCTATGGAAACCTCGTGTATATCAACACGATTACTCATTCGTCACAATGGCGGCGAGCAGTGCGGTGTATTCGCGAGGATAAGCAGCGTGCAAACGGGATCGCTCGTTAATAAAATGTATCTGCTATTTTACGCGTAATCAGAATTACGGCCGTGTCGTTTCGCGATCGATCTTGTAACTCGTTGATCCACGGGTTACCCCTTACACGCCCTCGCTTCCCTTTCTGCAATAAATCATAAGAATTTTACGTCGTCGTGCATACTCGCGTGTGGTGTGTGTGTGAGTGTGTATGTGTACAGTGTACGCGGCATCGTATACACGGAAAATTCGATATCGTTAATTCCAAATTGCTATTATAATTTCAGATTTCGTCGTTTTCTTTTCTTCCCTATTCCATTTCTATCTTTTCTGAAACGCGGAAAGCATTGGAAGTTAAATTAGAGGCCACGTACTTTCGATACGTACTTGGCGAATTTTTATCACTGTTGACACTTTTTTGGATCACCATCGGTGGAAAATGACAAGGCTCGCCTGTTTGGATTTCTAAATGACTGTGTTACGTTCAAGGATTCACACCGTACGCCATATTACGCTACATTGTAATTAGGGTATAAACATAATGGCGCGATCATACGTACGATAGCGTTGGCCGGGCTGGCACGATGCGTTTATTTAGTCGGTGCGTAATTATTCGATGATTAATTTATAACAATTTTTTTTTAATTAATTACACTATGGTTAGCACTCCGATATTGTTCGCCGCGATAACGATCACACGTGGCAAATTACACGAGATTAATCATGATTTATCGCGGCTACCTACGCCCGAACCTTTGTCGCGATCTTCGACAATCCTTCCATCCTCTTTCCTCTCTATCCAGAATCAACTCTACCGTATGTTTTATCTTCTTCCCCTCGCGTTTCTTTCCCAAATCCGTTCTCGAAACGTCGAATCGAAATAGTTCCAACTTTCTGTTCAATTTCTCTTTAGTTCGTACACAATCGGTGACGAGGATTCTGAAAGTTGATATTAGGGTGGTGCATGTTCGCAGACCTCTCGCCATTGGGTGACAAGGGTGGCAGTCTGGTCGACGAGCTTGGAGGTGGTGGCGGCGGTTCCTTGAGGAACGGTAAAGGGAAGAAGATGAGGAAACCACGGACGATTTACAGCAGCCTTCAGTTGCAACAGCTCAACAGGCGGTTCCAGAGAACGCAATACCTCGCGTTACCGGAAAGAGCGGAGCTTGCGGCGAGTCTTGGATTAACGCAAACGCAGGTCAGTTTCTTCTTCGAGTACGTCCCTTCTCTTTCGTTTTTTTTTCCCCTCCTCCCCTCCCCTTTTTTTTCTCTCCACGATCAATCCTCCTTCCCTCTCACGGAAGTACCGATCTAAGGTGTTCTCACGTGCACGATCGTCGACGAAGATGATGCACGCCCGCACTCGTCACGCGAAACAACACGCGGATATGTTGTTCCGTGACTCTTTACGCCTGGAATCCACTGTGTTTTCACGTTATCTCGGCAATTAAGTCCAGGTTTCCATGAAAATTTCATTCGGTTCAGCTCCGGGTACGCCGGGAAAATCCCTCTACGGAAACAAGTAATATCTTCCGATGTTACGTTCAGAAGAAGATATAATTGAGTTCGGGTGAGATATATACGACTATTTCAACGATGATGTTTAATTTAACCCATGTATTATTCCTACCTATATTATCACATAGCACAATCGTCGTATTTTATTTTTACACCCCGATGCCGCATTTCGAATTGCCGCAATGAATTTTATTGCACCGAGGTACCGTTAGCGCAATGTAGTATTCATAAAACACTTTAAACTTAAGGAATCACCTAAGAATATTAAAGTTTTCCAAATTAGAAACTAAGTCTTCCAATCTTCCAAGCCTCAAAAATATAAATATAAAAATAAAAGTATAAAAATATTTTTTAAACAACGAAACAATCGAACCCTCTTTTTATTCACTCAATCTTAGAAGATTCTAGATTCTAATCTTCCAAGATTTTGTATCCAAAATTGAGATTTGATTCGTCGAAACATCAATACCACGATCCTTCCATATTTCCATTAAAAAAGCCGCGTGTGCTAAATTTCTACGCGATATTCGCGAGAGATAGTCATGTTTCCACCCCTCGAAATCACTCAGGAGATCCTGTTGCGCGCACAGTCCAGCGTAACAGGACCCAGGATGGACGGCATCTGTCAACATTATCGGCACAAATGACTTTACTAAATCACCGATCCGCCACGCCCTGGACATCGGGGATAGGGTTGCCAGAGTGGTAGCGTGTCGAGAGGGGGAGAAACGGAGCGCCGCGAAACGTTAACGAGGCCATCGTAAATTATCATTGTGTCCGAACGATCGCGAAGTTTTTCCACCTTTCCACGGTGGACATCGCGGCGGGCTTTCCCCTAATTATCAGGCTCGGTTTCCAATTAACGATTTATTAAGGGAGGGAGCCGTGGTCAAAAGGATAATTGGAGCCGGTCTCCTCGAGGCCATGAATTTCTCGCGGATAGTCCCACAGTTTCCAATTAACGATTTATTAGATCGCGCCTCCGAGCTAATTGTAACGAGGCTCAACTACCTCGCAAAATCTTTGCCTCTTATATATATAGCGGCGTTCACTCGATTTACGATCTACTCGTACAATCGAAGTTCGTGATTTTACGCGATTCCTCGAGTTTCTGTCAATTTTCGATCAAGTCAATCGTCGTTTCAGATTTTAAATTTTAATCTCTCTTCCCAATTAAAAAGAAGGGAAGAGAAATGAAATGGCGATTAATATTTTTATTCATGTTTATTTAGAGTGTGGATTATAGAGATTTTTATATCTCGTAAATATTGAATATAACGAGTGTAATTTTACCGACAATGGAAATTGATCCTCAAATTGATTTACTTGTGCCCCGATCTCCCTTCGCTCAATAGACGTCAAAAGGCCATAGGTTTTCACATAGGTAGACACGTTGTGATACGTAACTGCGTAATCACGGGATAACTGGCTGTCGTAGGTTGGTGATGTCGTCGCAGGGGGTCCCGGACCGGATAATTTCATTAGTCTGAGCTCCGCGGGAGTTGTTCCCCTTCCCACTTGGGCGCAGAGAATCGAGCCCGGCGCAGGCTGATGAGTAATCGCGGCACCGTGTCACGTTTGTTTGCAAAATAACACGGAACAAGAACCGTTTCCACCGTTGATTTTCAATAGAGGTATCCCTGGAATTGGAATTTTATTTCTAGATCCAATTTGTTACTTTCAACGGAGCTTCGTAGAAAGTTATCGCGTTACCCGTATACACTCGTTCATTCCGTTGCGTAAAATCTAACGCGCAAAGGAACGATACCGAGCTTCTCTCGTGAGAATTTTACGAAGGAATTTTACGAAGAATATCCGATCGATACCAAAGATTTTACGCACGATCGAATCTCTTTAAAGATTCCCTCTTTCGAGATGGAATTATTAACTTTTGTGTACGGAATTCAAAATCGCATTTGTTTCTCGCACAAAACTTTTTCCAAGGTTTTCGCAAATTCGAAAAGGGAAAAAAATTCACGAAAATTTCTCTATATTCGTGGAACAGGAGATAAATTCGCAATTTCTTTTCTCCCTTTCACTTTAAAACCACTTTCCCCCCCAGGCTTCGCTTTTCTCTCCCCATATAAGGGTAGTTTGCATCGCAGACCATCCAAGCGTAGACGAATCACATACGTTTACGCACATACGTGGAAGAGCCGTGTGCCGGCATCGCGGTAGCCGATCCCCGGGAATCTCGTTGCCGGTGCATCTCTTCAGGGTGCACCGTGTATAATCTGTAATCGGCCAATCAAGGCGTTCGAGCAAGCGCCTCTGTCTGTACCGTTGGCCCTGCTACCGTCGCATCGGGTTTCTTGTCATCGCCAGGCGCAACATGGCGCCTACACAGCCTTCGGATACTCTTCCATCTTCCCTTCGTTCCTGGTCTCCTCCCCCTCGCTTCGAAACCGCTTCGTCTCTCCGTTCGTCTCTTTCCCGTTTGTGTCGCGTCCCTCTTATCTCTCTTAGCCTTTCCCCTCCCCTCCCCTCCTTCCTTCCTTCCTTCCCTCGTTTCCCCTTCGCTTTACTCGCACCGAGTTCGACTTTGCCACGACGGAAAACGAAGAAGGATTGCGAGAAGAAGAGAAAGGAGAAGAAGAAGAAGAAGAAGAAGAAGAGAAGGAGGAGGAGGAGGAGGAGGAGAAGGAAGGAAAGAAGGAACGAAGGCGAGGTTCGAAGAGAGAAGGCCACGCATCTCTTTTTCTTCGGGGCTTCAATTTGAGGACGTGGTAGCGCGCGTTCGTGCCGCCGTGCTGGCACAGGGTATGAAGAGGGAGCGAGAGGGTAACAAGGACGGATAGTACTCGTACACGCCAAGTACATATCGCCACGAGGAGGAGCTTGTACGTGCAAAGGGGATAGACACGTAGACGCGGCTACATAGGTACCAACACGGCCGTCTGCGTTCCTGCCACGTACCTTGGGCGTGGTGGTGTTGGTCTTTTTCTTCGTCTTCGACCGAGCAACGTGCTCGATCTCTCCTCATTGGCCCTGGGAATGCCAACGCGTCGAAACGAGATTCGAAAGTCGCGCAGGGGAAGAACGGGACGCGGAGTGAATTCGAAATCTCGATGTTCGATGGAACGAGCATTCTACCCTCCCTGAAATCCGCCAAATAATTCTCGGCCAAACGTGCACTCACGATTCGTGAACACCTGCGCGCACGGATATTCGTAATGTTTCTCTGCCCGGCTATCGAGAGATATATTCTCGCCCCTGTCGATCATTCTTTACGCTTCCTGTTATTTATTATTGAAACGGACACATAGGGGTGGGAGACACCGTAGGCGGTATCGATGTCGCGACGGTGAACGATCGAATCGGACTAGCAACCCTCTGCCATCGATCAGCCACGGAAATAAGATAATGCTGTCACTCAAACGCCGATATACAAAACCTTGGATCGATCGGTTAATGTAACGCTTTTCTGCCTGCGTTCTGCCTGCGTGCAACTTGGGGAATTCGAGCGAGATTCTTCCATTCCCTCGCAGGAACTTTCTAGAAACGCTATGCAATGTTGCATTTGTTTTTTTTTTGTGCAACAATGTGAAAAGAAGAATGTGGCGAATGTACGAACGAATCGGAATTGAACAATGCATCGTGCGATCAATGATTGTTGCGTTACCCGGATAACTTCCATATCTCGGTCGTGATCAATAAGTAGCGACATCGCGTATCTTGGGCGCGTATCTCGCGAACCACGCAACACGCATTCGCGAAAAATCCGAGTGTTGTCGAAATCGATGCAGATTAAGGCGCGAATAACTAATTGCGTTTAGCGTTTGTGTTTCAGAAAGTGGATCTTGCCAGAAGTGGGAGGGATGAAGAAATGATGATCGAGCACACGATCTTTTATCGGAATTTGTTATAGAAAAGATGACTCGGGAACTTTTGATTTGATCGATCGAATGCTATGTCTTGGAAAGAAGAGTTTAGAAGTTCAGAGAGCGAGGGAAATCGATTATCTCTGAATCGAAATTTTTACTAACGCGACCGATAATTATTTTTTTTTTTTTAGAGTTAGGACCGTAGAGGACCGACACTTGTCAATCAGGAAAAGAGAAAAAGTGTAACGAGGGAACGCATTCTACGATATTTTCCCTCATTTCATGCTACCGGAATGCTACGTAACACCGGATCACTTGCGAAATGTGGTCGTGGCAGACGTTGATCCGCGAATAACCACTCGCGCGGTGTCTTTCCTCCCCGTATCTCCACCTTTCCCTCGTTTTCCGCTCGTTTATCTGCGTCCATTTATCTGCCTATCATTGACGTTGGCCAGCGTAGCCACATGCCTCCACTCTTCGGCATGATCTTTCGCCGTATACATAGATCGCCGCTGTAGATAACGAACTCAATTTCCACGAAAATATATAAATGATAAGTAGATTTAATTAATAATCCCAAATGGAACGCAATAAAGAGAATTACGAGAATTCATGTAAGTCGATCGACGATCGGGGCGAACTTTGTCCCTGAATTTTTTATCCTATTTAAACAAGTCGGCATAATAAAATATTTATGCCTGTGTTTCTCTGTTCCAATCTTTATTATCAGATTCAAAGGTGGAACCCGACTATGGCGGAGCGTGCCACGACCTAGCTGTACGAGTTTTGTAGGTTAGATGTATTAGATAATGGGGGGGTCCGGTCTCCAGTCGCGGAACAATGGCTCGAATATAAT